TATTGCAATCACAAAATTATCAGGTACCGTATTGCGGGGGACATTGCCCCCACACCTTCAACTCATTTAACAAAACTCTCTCAATTAGATAGATGCTTCCACTCCGCTCCAGTATCTATCCCTTATCTAATATATAAGTCATACCTAACAATTTGATTAGCATAATTTATCTTTAGATCTATTGAATTTTTTCTGTTATTGCTTCATTACTGCATGTGCCATCCGAGAAAACACCCAATAGATTTATGGTTTCATCGTTCGAACTTCTCTTTTATTTATTTATTTTATTATTATTATTTTTCTAAGGGAACAATTTCTCTCTTATCAAAGAAAAACAAGAAACGGGTTGCTATCTTTCAAAGACATATTTTACCGTTACTGTACCAATATAAAAAGGTGTATAAAGTTCGAAAGACAGCAATCTAAGAGCGTAAATAAACAAGTTACCCCTAAGCAAAATTCACCTCCTTCAAGAAGCAACAGTTACGGAAAGAAAAAAACTAATTTCGTCTGGCTTTTGCTTGCAGTTAAGTGTTGATCCCTCATTAATCACGCATCAATTACCATCCACAGGAGTGTCTCCCCAAGTCAAAATGAACGGTTTTATCTGACAAAAAGTTCCTTCCTTGCCCGGCTAAGTTTGAAGGACATGACATCCGCCAATTTCAAAAAGTTTTCATGTGAAAAACTCCCACGCATTGGCCAAATTATCCCGCAATACCCTCCCATTGTTGCCAAATAAAGAGGAACTAGAAAGAAAGCAGCTTCTTTGCTTGAGTGTGGCTCACGCTACTATGTTCCATCACAGCTCTTCCTTTCTCCCCTGCCCTTTTCTTATAAAGAACCTCCCCTTTCCCCCCATCTCATGCAACTCACATCCACTTCCCTCTTCTTCTCTTCTTCCTTCACTCTCTTTCCTTCACTTAGCTTCTTTAAAAATGGATGATGAATTCTGCTAAGGTAGCCAATTTGGGCCTCAGGGAGTGGCCTCTAAGTAGAGACAAAGTAGAGAAGCCTTAAGCTTGTGTGAAAAGAAATGGAGAGAAATGAGTTTATGAAGCATGGTTTGGTCAGACTTCCCCCTGGTTTCAGATTCCACCCTACTGACGAAGAGCTTGTTGTTCAGTACCTTAGAAGGAAGGCCTTCTCTTTTCCCTTGCCGGCTGCCATCATTCCTGAAATTGATCTTGGGAAATTGAACCCCTGGGATTTACCCTGTAAGTTTTTTCCAGAAAGATTTTGTTATTTGTGAGCAAATTCATATGAGAGCCTTAAGTTTGATCATATTGTTTGAACTTCACATATTAAACCTGTGCCCTTTCTGAAGTACATTTTGATGGCTATGTTTTAGTAAACTTAGGTGGGTTTGGTGGAGATAAATACTTCTTCTATCTTAGGGAGAGTAAGAGTCAAAAAAAGAAAGGGAGAGTATCTTACCGAGAGACAAAGTTGGGATACTGGAAGCCCTTGGGGAAGGAGAAACCAGTCTTGGCTTCTTCTCAAGGAAACGAATTAGTTGGTTTGAAACAAGTCTTGGCCTTTTACAGAGGGAAGTCGCCTCATGGATCAAAAACCGATTGGATCATGCATGAGTACAGCCTCCCCAACAAAGAACTTCTAAAGAGCTCAGCCCAAGTAAGTGCTAATTACTAGCTCAGAGAAATTTGATATATTTTTACTGTATAATTGACAAACAAATCACTTTTAGTATGCTTTTAGTATGTTGATAGGATAGTGATTTTTTCTTCAGACCGTTACTTATTTGAATAATATGCTCTTTAATGGTTGCAGAGTTTGCTTGTTTCAAGTAAAGAGTGGGTAGTTTGTCAAATCTCTGTGAAAAGAAGGAAGAACTTGAGAGCAAGGAATATCAGACAAGAAGAAAATCAAATTCCTGCAACCAGTTCATCTTCTTCGTGGAGCTGCATAACTGAGAATCTCTTAGATGAAGAGGATAGTAATGGAGAAGAAGCTATGAGCAAAATCTTTGTTGATTAGCAACATTAAGTCTAATATCTTCAGCTCATGTGCACTTTATATTAAAGTCTCAATTTCAGGGAAAACAAATTTAAATCAACTTTTGTGACTTTTCATCTTAATAACATTAACAACCTGTTTGACGTCTGCTCTGAAGATGACTTTATTCTGCAAGCATTCTGAATATAAATTTCCAGAAAAAAAGTAATGATTTAGTAATTCAAATTTACATAAATGCAAAATTACTTATATTATCACTTCGAGCAGCCCACTTGACCAAGTGGTTCTTAGCTTTGTATCTAACTCATGAGAACTGGAGTTTTAAGACTTTGCACATATATATGGGTATGTGAGTTAAGAAAAAAAAAAGTTACCTTCTAGAACGGTTCAAGCGGGCTACTCAGCCAAGTCGCTCTTAGCATTGGCTCCGTTTGGGGCAACTTATCCGCTACGGCAGTGTTTTGAAAAGACTGGCTCACCGTATGGAAATTACGTCTGAGCAACTTATTCGAGACAGTAGTTGATTTTTTACACTAAACGTAAAACGCAGGTCCCAGATAAGCGACTTACCAAAGCACAAGCTACCTCAAAAGCACCCGAATTACCAGCAATCACAGAGGTTAAGATGTAGCACATGTGAGTATGTGTGCTATAAGAAAATAATAATATGATCAAAAGGGAGATGGTTTTACTTGAAATAAAGAGTACCCTATGTTGGTTAAAAAAAGATGTGAAAGGCACGAAGTGAGAAAGAAGAGATAACGCAATTCAAGCACACAAAAAAAAATAAATAAATAGACAATTAAATAAAAAATAAAGAGAGAGAGAGGGAGAGGAGAAAGATAAGACGCAACTTCTCCATGTGGTATATGAAATAGATGCTTTTTAAGAGGAAACAGAAGAACAAGGGCCACATGGGTCCCTGTAATGGCACCCACCTTTAGCTAAGGAGATCTGCACTAGATTTTGATTTGAAAGGTGGGAGGTGGCCATCACAATCAGGAAATAACACTTTGCTTCCTTATTGCTCTCCATGTGAATCAGCTCTAGCGCCCACAAAGCCAAGACTTGTGTGTTCGCTTGGCTCGCGGGTGGCCCGCGCCGGCGGGGTTCGATCTTTGATCTGTTTTTAGTGTAAAAATCTGACCGTGTTTTCGGATAAACTGTCGAAACATGAGCAACGTTTTAAAAACGCTGCTCGTACTTATAAGCTGCCACAAACAGCCCTAAGCATTCTGAAATAAGTTTAAGAAAGCAATATCTAAGGACCGCTGTAGGTCCCTCATTAGCATTTGATTTAACTATAATTAATCAATAACAGTAATATGATTAAGAAATACATTCAACATTATGGGATTAATTAGCAGTATTATGCAAATATGATTCGTTTGTTGATAATTTTCACTTTTTTTTTCAAGAAATCGACTTATATATACCAACTTTGCCTGATTTCACGTGCAAAATTATTGGCAATCAGAATAGTGGTTAAATTATTTTATAATGAATAGCAGAGCAACAAAGCGATACCAAATGAACAATTGGTCTTCTAAAAGACTGATACATCCATGTTGCCAACAAAGCAAAGGAAGATGAATAATTGGTTTTCTGAGGACTACTTGCTTCAGCTTGCCTTCAGAATGCCGGTGCTTTTCCCTTATCAGCAAATTCAATTATTGTTTCTCTCCTTCCATTTTATATATATATATAAGGTTGATGAAAATTTAGGATATTGGTCCCATGCATTATATTTTGACACACAATAGACTGTCTTAAATGTAATCTCTTATCTTTTAAGTTTAAAATATATCAATATGTATGTATTGGTCGGAATTAAATCAAAAATATTAAATATGAGAAATATTTAGTAGATGTATTTAATAAAGAGTCCTTTAGTATTCCACATCCACCTGAATCTAGAAAATTGGATTCTTTGTTTCTCTAGATTATGCTAGCATATGAATTGCTTCAAGAAGAAACTTTGGATTAGTATAATAGGTCTTAACCTTGTCATTTTTAGATTGAATGAAACTAAAAAAAAAAAAAAAATCTCTTCTTTTGTTGTCCACACAAAATTTTTATTCACCTCTCAATATTTTCCACATATGTATCTATTTATTTTATCAAAATTGGTATAAGAGTCAACATTGTTAAAAGATGGCAAGTGGCTTGAATCTAAAAGTGCCTCATTTCATAAAAGAGAATTATGAGAATTGGTGTGTTCATATGAGGGCATTGTTTGGTTCCCTGGATATTTGAGAGTTAAATGAAAAAGCACATGTCGAGCCACAGGACGAAGCAACATTATCGACATCCCAAAGGGATTTGTTGAAAGAAAATATAGAAAGGACAAGAAAGCGTTCTTCGTTTATCAAGGCTTATATGAGGTATGTTTTGAGAAAGTGGTCGCCGCATCCAACTCTAAGCAACCATAGGAAATACTTCTTGTCACTTATAAAGGCATGGACAAGGTGAAAAAGGATCGACTTCAAACTCTTCAAGCCGAGTTCGAGGCACTCCAAATGAATGAAACAAAAAATGTGAAGGATTATTTCACAAGAGTATTGGCCGTTGTCAATCAACTACGAGAAATGAAGAAAATTTAGAAGTTGTTCAAGTGATTGAAGAAATTTTACGTTCGGTGAATGATAAATTTGAGCACATTAAAGTAGCTATTGAGGAAGCTAAAGGCTTAGAGTCTATAATCGTTAATGAACTTATGGGATCTTTTATGGCTTATGAAAAAAGAAAAAAATAAGAAAAAGTATTATATTTTCGGGTAAGCGCACCAATCAAAGCTTATATTTAAAGAATGAAAATGAAGACTCTAAAAATGAAGATAATTCAAGTGCTCGCAACTTCAATGGACAAAGCAGATGCCGTAGTTGTGATCGTGTCTTTGGAAGAGGCTGAGGATATGGACATGGAGGATATCAAAAAATAATGAAGATGGTTTTTGACTGAAAGAAAGAGCCAAGATACTAATGATACAAAAAATCATATTTTCTTTGTTATATTTGCAAGAAGTTAGTCACTATGCTTCCGAATGTTATCATAATTAAGAAAAAGATAAATTGGCCTTGAAAAAACAAAAGGATAATGTGTTATTATTTTCATTCAAAGGAGAAGAAGATGAAAAACAAAATAATTGATACTTAGATATTGGAGGAAGTAATCATATGTGTGGAAATAAAGATATATTCATAAAAATGGAGGCAATTGAGAGTCAATTTTAATTTGGAGATTCTTCAAAAATTTTAGTTGAATGGGAAATGTAAAACTCTTATTCTTCTTAAAGATGAAAGTAACCAATTTATTTTTAATGTCTATTATGTTCAGGGGTTGAAGAATAATATTTTAAGCTTCAGACAATTACTTAAAAAAGGATTTGATATTCATATGAAGGATAAAAAAGCTCGATATTAAAAATAATCTGTATGAGTGAATAGACCAAGTAAAAAAGACAAGTAATAGAATGTTTATTCTCTACATAAAGAATGGTATAATGAAATGCTTGAAGACTTGCATATAAGATTCTTCATGAATTTGGCACATGAGGCTTGGACATTTAAATTTTGGAGATTTAAATAATATTTCAAGAAAATTAATGGTATATGGGTTGCCAAAAATCAATCATTCAAATCAAATTTGTGAAGAAAGTATATTTATAAAGCAACCTAGAAAAAGTTTTCCAAATGAAGTTTTAGAGCAAAGAATCCTCTTCAATTAGTCCTCATGGATGTATGTAGGCCTATTGTTCCAACATCCTTTGATAAGTAGCACACGTTATTTCCTTATCTTTACTGATGATTATTCAAGAAAAACTTAGGTCTGTTTTTTTAAAGAAAATATAGAAACTTTTATCAAATTAATGAAAGTTAAGGCAAGTATGGAGAATGAAAGTGGTATGTTAGTAAAAACCTTCCAATCAGATCGAGGTGGTGAATTTACATCTAAAATATTTAAAGATTATTGTGAAGAGCATGACATTCAACATCAACTAATAATACTTTTTTCACCATTGTGAAAAGGAATAGTTGCACCATTCTTAATATTTTAAGAATGGTTTGAAGCATGATTAGAACCAAGAATTTTGGGTTGAGGCAGTGGCATGCGCTATTTATATTCTCAATTGGTGCCACATCCCGATATTATATGATAGTACTATGATGTATGAGGTTATATTCTTAATTTTTTCTTACTTATATCTCTTACTTTGCAACGGTGCCAAAAACTTGACTTCGAAGCAAATAAAAATGCAATTATTTTATTTAAATATGGGATACTACGTAAGTATACGTATCGTTATCAAGTAATACAGAACTTTTTGATTAAGCCCCAAATATTGAACCCACTGGAAGAATTTCAATGTGTTAATAAGTCGGGAAAAATTAGATAAAAAATTTTACTTTGCAAAATATTCTTACTCAGGTTATAGATGCTATAATAGAAATGAAAGTTTGATTCTTTTTGGAAATTTTTTATAATTGAAAATAAACTAAACAACTAACTAAATTTAACTAGATAATTGTAAGATGAAAGCAATGTAAATAAAATATCTTTTTCCTTATCATGAATCAGTATAAGTATAAGAAGTCTAATATGGAAGTATTCAAAATGTGTTGTGCCACATAGGAGCAATTGTATTCTTCACCCTTACTAGACATGCTATAAAGAATATTGCCTAATTTAAAGTTTGAATAGTCTTGAAGATGGGTTAAGTAGGGAAGATACTAGCTCTCACTCTAGAGTTCCCGCTTCTCTCTTCACCTGGGGAGATAACATCTCGTATGAAAACCTATACTTATAAACCAAATTAAGGGCTTTAGTCTGTCACTCTAAAGTCTTCTAATTCTACTCCCTTCAAAGTTTATTTTTTCATTTATTTGTACTCAACCATATGAATTACATTCTCATCCATACAATCTCATGTGATTCTTACCATTAGTTGAGTGAGACAATACCATCACGGATCTTACATGTTTTCACAACAGATATTAACATCTTAATTGGTCAAATCAAGAAGTAAATGAAGTACAAGGTTAAAAATAATCACAACTTATTCCAACATTAAAGATTAATACTTCATACAAATTCCATCCAATACTTAATCACTTATCATTTAAGGAAAAAGGAAAAGAAAACTACTCAGAATTCATGGAGAAAACACAACCACACTTAAGTTTAAAGATAGAAATCAAGTCAACAAAAAAGAAGCCTAAATTAAAACCAAATGTAGTCACAAAGAAAAAAATTATCTCAAATCCTCTCCACCAAATTATTGAAGTCCCTTTGAATCCCTTCTCTTTCTGTCTCTTACAATCTCTCTACTCACACAC